AGCTTCAATATTGGTAGTTTGGCTAGAGGGAACGGAAATCGCCTCAAAAAACAAAAGGCATACATTGTAGCACTTGGAACAATATTTTGAGCTCAATGAAAACCCAAACAATTAGAAATTCGCAAGATTTCTCCCTTTAGACAACTTCATTATCTAAACGGCTTTACTAACGTTGCAAGCAGGGAAACCTAAGAAAACCTTTCTCATACCACACTTGCGGGATTTTTGCCATCATGGGGTAGTGATTAGGCGTCTATTTTCTGAAACCAAAGCCATATATTATGATTTTCGATTTTACAATAACGTCCCTATTGAAACTGTTGCAGCCAGTCCTCGCATTCGAGTTGCATATAATCACTAGGAAGATGTTTATGCCCATTGGATCTCACCTGGCCCAACCATCTTTGGGGAAAAACGAGTGAAAACAGAAAAGTGCAACTTTCCTTAGACTGCAAAAACCATGATTCGAATCGTACTTCCACTTTCACCTCAATAAAGCACTGTGAAGACTTAGGAAACCCTTGAACCCCCTATTGTCTGAAGTAAAGGTCGAATGGTAGACCTTCACTTCAAGTCGAATATCTTTTGAGTTCTCAAACTGTCCTGCATACGATTCCTAAGCAAAAGTCCCATGAAATCGGTCAATCGTGTGTGTGACAAAGTTATTCTTAGTTAGCATTGATCCATGCGTATTCGGTAATTGAGGGTACTGTAGAGTAGAGTGTAATGTTCTGTTACATTACGCATACTCCAAGTTCAAAAATCTGACTGTGCCCAACTTTCTTTCAGGTATCAGCCTCCTTTGGAAAAGTAGAAGCACTTGGTCATAGAGATCAGCTCTCATACTTTTAGATCGAATTAATATCTAAACCCCAGCGCGATTCATAGAGGAGACAAACGCCGGGCGCAACCCGAAGTAGGTTAGATAACACTGCATGATATACTTCATAAATAGAATTTCAACTACGTTTTCAGGTCCCTAACAGAAACCCTGAAAATCATAACATGGATGAAGTCATATGTGTGCTTATGAAATCTGATACTGGTCATAACTACCCCGGTCAGCTGCGGATGGAAAGGCTCAGTGAGGCTCACCTCCAAATCCGGTGGCTCCGTTGTATCGGATGATTTGTTTGTCCTGACGACGCCAGACCACCGTGGGCATTGGATTCCCTTCCGCTTTACACGTCAACGTCACATTATGACCTTCCCGGACCTCGACAGCCGACGGAGTACCGCGTGATACCGCCGGTGGCACTGAAACGGGGAATTTCACATGACAAAATGGTCCTTGAATTTTCGTCGAAAACTTGGATCACCATAACTCGAAGGGCTCTTTCATCGGAAAACGATGAATGGATTCAAAAAATCAAAAATTATTCATACAATTTCATGGAACGCTGGAAAAACTCGAATTTGGGTTTCCATTCTTTTTCACGTTCACACTTCGACTCCCTAGAGCGAGAGCTGATAGAAAGCAGGCGGATCGGAAAACTGAAGCTGTCTTAACCCGAAGGCATTTCTGAAGTAGAAATTTTGTCTAGTCTCAAATTATTCTATTTATGTTAATGTAATAAGTAGAGAGGGGGAAGGTTATGTAGTAGCATCCAGGTCCCTCTCCCATCTTGTCTCTCGGCAAATCGCTTTCCATTCATGTCTCCTCCCCGTGGTCGCAGATATCTTCACCAGCTGGCCCTTAAGTTTAGGGTCACCGCGCTTTAGCCCAGTCATGCCACGTTGCGGTATTTGACGATGGTTGTCCAAGGCGGACCGCTTGTGCAAGGACCGCTTGACCCCCAATTACCCGGTTCTTGGTCGATAATTAGCCACCCACCTACACGTAACAGGTGATGGGACAACACCTTTAAGAGTGTAATCGTTTCCCGTGAAAGCGCGATAACAACAGCGGTACTTACAATTACTAGCAGAACTACGGATGTAATTTAAAGGACTCATTACATACCCGCTAGAGCTTACAGAGAAATCGGTAATAATCCATTGGCAACCTTTTGGAATTACAGAACTATGAGGATACGGCTCCCATTCGTGTTCTAGTTGTAGCAATAAGACATACATCTGCAGACTATTGAAAAATTGTGGAGCTGATGCTTGATGTAGCAAAGTCTCCCCTCCCATTTTGGAATGTTCAGCAATTATGCACCAGGTTAGCTTGGAGATGGGACCAAAATAAACGAATTTTTTTCAACTAACTGAACAAACAATAAAAAACTTTTGCATTTTTTCATGCCAAGGGAACTGCAAATATTAGTAGGCTACCCCCAGTTGTAACAAATGATCAGCTGTACGTCTTGAAGGTAGGAGGGAACTCAGGCGTGTGGCCCGCGAAGTCCATTCACCGAAACTTAACCAGTGGACTGAGTAATTGGTAACTT